GACGATGGGCAAATGAAATCTGAGTGTAATGAAAAGTATACGGTGAGTGATAATAATACAAGCTCTAAACATCCTGCCGATTCATTAACGATTGTTCCTTTTAAGTCAATGCGAAAAAAGAATTCGACCAAATAGAATTTAAAATAATTGATTGTTTGTGGGAATCCTTCAGAGGAGGGAGCGATTGCGCAGGTGAAACGAAAGAACTAGATTTTCTATTTTATTCAGCTTGAAATCGGATGGTGAAAAACCTCTCATGCTACTCAGTGGATACACCAAAAGTAAGTAAAAAATATTGTTTTTGTTATTACGGAAATTCAAAAAAAGTCCAAATATTTCTATTTATAGTTTACGATTGTTAAAGCGGCAGTGAGATTATTTAAAATGCGTTTCACTGTTCTGTCATTTTTCTTCTTAAAATATGCTAAGTATTTTCAGGGAGCGAAAATGATAATCGCTTCTAAACATTCAGAGGAGAATACCTGTACGAGTATTATAGATAAGACTGATTACGAACTCTACTGATCATAACAAAACAGAGAAGGAATCTCGCAAAATAAAGCTAAAATTCTCAAACTTCCAAGACAAAATTTGATGTAGGGTGTTGAAGCAATTATTGTGTAATTATCGTCAAAATTCGTTGAAATTTCATCAACCTTTGAAAGCTGCGCTTTTGTCGGCGTATGAATTACAGAATCCAGGTTATTTCAGGAGACCTCTGTAAGCTAGCCTGCTGTCATTTTATCTCGTGTCTTCTTCCTTCCTTCAAAATGGTGTGTATTGAATTACACTTTAGTACTAGCTTTATTTTATTTTATTTTTTTTTAATATTTAGTATAAAAAAATTTTCTTTAGGAGAACCATTATTCACTCGATCATATAATTGTGAGTGAATACATTTCTTGCCGACTTATTTTTGTTTTAAAGTAGCGCCTTTTTTCATCATCCTTCCTAAGTTTCTATTTCTATTTTCCCGTTGTTCCCCTCATTTCACCTAAGTGCATCAGCAAAACTTCGCCGGTTTTCGATTACCACATGAAATCATTGCTAATCATTCTGTGACAAGCAGGAAAGCGAATCTTAAAATCTTTTTCTTAGGTAAAATAATAATAAACAGAGCAATTGGTCGTCTAAGTATTGGATCTTCCGCTGCATGCTGAGACTTAACGCGAGAAGACAAATTCAGGCTTGGTCAAGTGTAATTCCGGGATTCAAATCTTGCAATGCTAAAGACCAAATGTCGTAGCCATCAAGAAAATAACTATATATTTCTGACATAGATGTCTTTTCTACTTTGACAAATAAAGAAAATCTCCGGTTTTCGAAAATGGTTCCGGTAAATTTTAGTCAATGATTTTGACATTTCATCACATCTAATATCCAAAAGTCCTCATGCAGAAAACATAACTTTGCGGGGTTTTTTTTAGATAAGATTGAGGAATTAAAGTTGTGTCAGTGAGCAAGATTGCGCACCGTCGCTGTCGATATGCGAATAACAGCTGTAGACTTCCTCGTGCGATGATTGTAAAATCTTTCTTGTTATAAATGCGCAGCAATAGCGCATTTTGGGATTTTAATTTTTTTAGAGAGTCTTTAAACGGAACTGCGCCTATATCGTTTCGTGCCGGTCGGTCGGTTCTATTTTAATTTGCATTCTTTTTCTTTCTTTCTCAGTTTTTTCTTTTTTAACTTGCGCCGCATGGCATGCGGTGAAAAAAGAAAGCTAGAAAGCGGGGAGAAAATGAGTTTTTTTTTAAGATCATGAGAATCTCGTCTTCCTATGCGCTTTGATTTTTATCTCATGCAATGAAAAGCCTGTTAGAAGTCAAATCAAATCAATATTCCTATAGATTCACTGCGAATGAGCAACCATCCCCCTCTGAGAGTAAATCATCTTACTCTGATTTGATAACGATAATATTACAAGGTCCTCAACATCTTTTTGATAGATTGCTTTTTCACGACGAACTTAGGGGGATAAAATAAATGAAAAAATTCCAATTCATTTATATTTTGCTGGGATCAATCGAGAACTAAACAATCAAAAAACTTCTGTTGTTGAGAGCCACGAGAGCAGGGCTAAAACCATTATTAGTGCCAAGTGTCATTTGTGAATTGGGGTTAAATTAAAAACTTAGTTCAAAATTGTACGATCAATTGAGAATTCAAATTAAAAACGCGCCAATTTAGAGAAAAGAATAAGTGATTGTCCTAAAAGTAGGTGTCCGTAAAAAAGCATATGTTTTTATCGCAGACTACAAGTAGGGAAAATAACAAAATAAAGAATTAAAAGGATAAAGTAATTGAGCTAAAATTCGGAGTCTATGAAAAAAATCTCAGACTCAAAATAATAAGAAAAACGTATTCCAATTTTCAGCAGCGCATGCAAAAGAAAGTTTAAACCCTGGAAATTTTTTAAGCCATGTGCTATAATTTTCGGGCTGGAATTCCTTCAGGAAAGGAAAAAACAGCCTATCAATTTTAACAGACGTCACTCATAAGTCACTTCCGAATAAACTAAAATTTAAAATGANCTCTGTAAGCTAGCCTGCTGTCATTTTATCTCGTGTCTTCTTCCTTCCTTCAAAATGGTGTGTATTGAATTACACTTTAGTACTAGCTTTATTTTTTTTCTTTTTTTTATATTCGGTATAAGTTTTTTTTCTTAGGGGAACCACTATTCACTCAATCATATAATTTTGAGTGAATTATACGTTTCTAGCCGACTTATTTTTTTCTTTAAAGTAGCACTGTTTTTCTTCCTCTTTCCTGATAACAAATTTCTATTTCTATTCCCACTGTTCCCGTCATTTCTGATAAGTGCATCAGCAAAACTTCGTTTTCGATAACCTCACGGAATCATTGCTATCCAGCTAGAAATCAGTCAAATCAATATTGCTATAGATTCACTGCGAATGAGTGACCATCCCCCTCTGAGAGTAAATCCTCTTACTCTGACTTGATAACGATAATATTACAAGGTACTCAACATCATTTTGATAGATCACTTTTTGACGAACTTAGGGGGATAAATGAAAAAATCACAATTCTTTTATATGTTGCTGGGATCAATTGAGTACTTAACAATCGTATCACTTGAGAGCCACGAGAGCAGGGTAAAACCATTAGTGCCAAGTGTAATTTGTGAAAAGGGGTTAAATTAAAAATGTAGTTCAACTTTACGATCAATTGAGAATTAAATCAAAAACGCGCCAGTTTAGAGAAAAAATAAATAATTGCTCTAAAATTAGGTGTCCATAAAAAAGCATTTGTTTTATCGCAGACTACAAGTAGGAAAAAAAAAGATATTTTTATTATATTAATATATGGAACGATCTGCCAGAACATTTAGTTCGTCGTAATTATCTTATTAAATTCAAGAAAGGTCTTAGAGATTATAGGTTGCGTTAATAGCTCTTTTTTGATGGCTTGTAGAATCCTGGAAGTTGTTTTGATCTCTTGTTTTCTGGTTTGATGTCGTGAAAATAGTCAAATACAATAGTTTGAGGACTTATTTTGATATGTTTTGACTTAGCATCCGCTAGTTGCCCCCCAGCAAACCGCTTGTTTGCCCCCCTGTCAACTCCAAAAAGTCATGTGATTGATAGTAAGCAATTTGTTCAAGGAGAACTAGTAAATTTTTATCCTACTCATTTTCTTTCTTCGTCATTAGTATTACATTATTTCCATATTTTTAGTTCCAATAACTTGTAATGATTTTATAATATATTTATACTGTATAGTTTCTTAATCTTTTTTATAATTTGTAATTTTTTTTCTTTTCTACCAGAGATTT